CCTTGCCTGCCCACTGAATAAGATGCAAAGATGGATTTCTTTCCATCGCTAATCTCAGGGGCGGGGGGTGGGGGGGGGGGGTCCTGGATGCTGACTTCCTCTCTCTTCCATCAATTTGTTGTTCTCTGAATGGCTTTCCTGGTCAAACCCCTCCGTGCTCTGCCAGGCTTCTGCTCCTTTCTCCTGGCCAGTCACCCTCCTGTTCTGCACTGGGCACACAGACAAGACCCGAGCCTGCGTTGGAGAATTAACATCCCCAAGCTCTGAGCCCCAACAAATGCACTTTCTCAGCTTAACAAGTGGGTATTTAAGAGAATTGGTCCCACAGATCCAGGCAGAGCATCAGATCAGGGAGTTGCTTATCCATTCATTTGTTCAATATGGACTGAGCATTCACAAGGGAAATTTACCCCTGTAGAGGCCTTCATCCATTATACAAGAAGCTCAGTAGAGGGCACTCCTGTATTATAACAACTAAGCACAGGGCAATGGACCTGAACCCAGGGAGCCAATCAGAGAGCGCAAATAATCTCTCTCCTATGCGTGTTGGTGGACTCCCATGACCGGGTTCTGATCTGTATCCTTACCCACACTCACCTGGGGATGGGACGTTCACCTTTGCTTCTTACTAGTCTTAATAACTCAAAGATAATAACCATGGGATGCATTGCTCTGTTCACTAGATGCACTCAAAAGTCACTTCAATAGGCGGCACACTTTATTTCTAAGCCCTTAAGGGGGGGGGGGCGGGCGGGGGAGAGATAATATTTCAGGATTCAATTGCATTCTATTTAATTCAAACTAATTGAGTCCTTTTCCGGGTGTAAAGTCATCTTGATGCAGAAGAGAAGGAAGAGGAGCTGAAATATTGCTGCTGCTGGAAGTGAAACTCATCTCAGGCAAGACACAGCACACATTATTCTTTGAGAAATGTCTTCTGATTAATTAAAATGAAGAAAGCAGCACACGCAGCCAATATTTTTCACTCAGTGGAACACATGCCAACTGGGAGGGGGCATCACTACTCCTATGACTGTGTACTACAGTACCAAAGTGGTTTCTTTGCAGTTATCAAAGCCAATGCTTACTGAGCACTTACTGTCCGCCAGGCACTGTGCCAAACACTTGACACCTATTATGTCATTTGTTCGTCACAACCACCACGAGTGTTAGATACATTTTAAAAATGGGAAGTTTGAGAAATAGTGAGCTGGGCATTGCCACATGACTAGAATGCGGTGAGAACCACAAGGCACCCACCCAGTCTGTCGACAGAGCGCAGACCGTCAGCCATGATACCAAGTCCATGTAGAAATGGGTTCTAAGTGGGCCTTGCATTTCTGTCATAGAGGTAAACATGACTTTCCTTTTCATCACTCCAGTGTTTCTCAATTTCAATTCATATTTGTAAGTTGACTGAGCCGGATGACGTTTTTATGGGAAATAAGTTAAATTACCAACTGTAAAATCAGCTTACCACCTGGTGAGTGAAATTAGAATGCAGAGTGGTTACCATTCAATTATGTTGAGTTGCTGTTGAATGGCTCAGCTCTGCTCTGCTCTGGGAGGCTCTATCAATGTCTATGACTCTGCTTTTTCTATTGGACAATAGGTAGCTCTTGGATTGCTAAAACCCACCATGGGGGAGCAAAATGTGGGAGCTGCAGTCAAAACATCTGTACAGCACCAAGAAAACATGTCAGGTGTTTTACTAAAACATTTCCCTCCCACTACCATTAAAACAAAAACGAGACCTGACTAGAGGGAAACGAGCCCTATATCAAGACCATTTGTGGGAGCCAGGTCAAAAGGGTCCCTGTCTGATCTGTGTCTTTCCAAATGCCCAGTTTCCAGGCTACTCATCAAAGTCCCATCTGGGACTACCACCCAGCAGGGGCCCTGCCTGGGGCATGGAGGAAGGTGGAAGGAGAAACAGTCTAATGAGGAGGTGCTATCAATGGGATAGGCCTTGAAGAAAGCAAAGAAAATCACTACAAAAACACAAAAACTGTCTTCCAGGGCTCCCAATAACCAAAACAACTGTATAAATCACACTGACATTTCTTCTTGTGTGCTCACTACCATTTGCCTTTTGGGAACAGATGTCTGATTCTTCTTTGGGAACCACTCCCCCAGTTCCCTGGGCCACACCTACCCCAGTGTTCCATCCTTCTGGACAGAATGCATGGTCCAGGGGTGGGCTGGGAAGGCCAAAGGGATGTGTCCTCTGGCTTTTGTCACAGTTAATGGGATAGCGGTCGGCAAACTCATTAGTCAACAGAGCCAAATATCAACAGTACAAAGATTGAGATTTCTTTTGAGAGCCAATTTTTTTAAACTTAAACTTCTTTTAATACCACTTCTTCAAAATAGACTCGCCCAGGCTGTGGTAATTTGTGGAAGAGCCACACTCAAAGGGCCAAAGAGCTGCATGTGGCTCGCAAGCCGCAGTTTGCCAACCATGGCTCTAGGATATAAACTGAGGATGTGAGTCCAGGAGTGCCAATAGGAAAACAAATCAATACGGAAGGCAACAGAAGAAATGAAGAGACATCTGGTCTAAAGACTTGGTTTGAGCTCCTGGATCCAGCCATGCCTGAATCACATGACCTTTTCAAATATGCCGGTGAATATGCTTCCATGTGTGTCCAACTCATTTGGAGTTGAATTTCTGTCCTTTGCCACTTAATTCGGGTTGCTTACAACTTCATTTCCTATTAAATTAACCTGGAGTGTGGGTGAAGTGAGAAAGAGAGTGGGCAGGCCCTCAGCCCTAGACACCAATACCACTGGGCTAGGGGCAGGTCCTCAGCATCTAGGTTCCACCGTGGCAAAGTGAAAAGCAGCGCTGGACTGTGGTTTCCTCCTCTGGCTGGTTGGATAGAATAACCCTCAAGTCCATTTCCAGCCCTGACATTACATTCCCCGTCCCTGGACCCACTCTGGAGGTCAGATGATTGCAATGGCTGCTGCCCCCATGGGAATTCCAAAGACAGGATGGCTTGTCCTGTTGTCCACAGAAGTGGTCTCTTCACCTGTTTCAGTACCAACAAAGTCATATATCAATCATCATATATCTTATCCCGGCCTGTGAAAGGAAGGCGGGAAAGGAAAGCATGCCTGTAAAATGTGGGGCTTTCCTCCTAAATAGTTATCGTTTTCAACCCTGCTCCTAAGTGGGAATTGAGCAGATATGACGGTACTCCTGCTGGCGGCCTCTCCTCCCTCGGGTCTGTGTGTTTCCCATAATGCACTGGTTCCTCTGTATCCAGAGAGAATGTGCATTTGTTAGGTGTTTACAAGCCGGAATAAAACCGCTGCATTGGACTGAGGGGAGATGGAACCAGGGGCCCACATTGGTGTTTGTAACTTCTGGTGCCAGGGACTCCAAACTGTGGACCTATTATATATACTTTGTTTCAGCCCCCAAGTGCATCTAAATCCCCAGGTGCAGGGAGAATGGTTCCCCTGTGGGCAGGTGCTTCTCGGTTCTCAAAGTAGGGTGGGATGTTAACGTTTGACCTGGGATGTCAGCATGGTTGGTGGGAACAAAATAAGGCAACCAAAGGGGCTGTCTGGAATGATGAGTTGTCTGAGTTATCTGGAGATCAAGTGTCCTATCTCCTTCCTCCCCCGCACCCCCCCCCCCCCCACACACACACACCACCACCACCACCACCACCACCACCACAGCCTAAGGTGCAAATGCTGGAAGAGCTGGACCTCAGGGCACCCTAGGCACAGACTGGGGCCTCCCTCCCGTGCGCGGTGGCCTGGTGGAGCTCTCTGCGGAGCAGGAAGGAAAGCGAGCCAGGGCTTGGAAAGACCAGGGTCCAGGACATGGCAAAGGGTGTCTGAGTGGAAACGTGCCCACGCTGGGTACAGGGGCGCGCTCGGGGTGCAGGCTGGTGGTTCACTGAAGCCAGCGCCCTTCTTCCCCTTCTCCTGGGGGCTGGAGACCTGACCCTGCGGCTCTAATTCCCCAGGGGGCACTCTCACCCCATCCCGGACGCTTCCCACTCCCTGGGCATACGCTGCCCTCAGTGGCGGCAGCGCCTGCAAAAGCTGGAACTCAGAACCAGCTCTCCGAAGCAGGCGGTGCCGCCCGCCCCCCTCCGGCTGTGGCCCCGCGGGGCAGTCTCCGGCCGGGGTTGGGGGACTGGCGGGGGGGCGGGGGAGGGGGGGAGGCAGGGAGTTCCGGGAGCCCGGAGCTATTTTTATAAGATGCGTCAGCCGGCCTGGAAGAACAGACAGCTCCGGGCCCATTGTCTGGACGCGGTAGGGGAGGGGGATCACCAAGGGGGCGATTCCCAACGCTCCAAAGGGCGCGAAAACGGCCCGGGGGGCGGAGAAGCCCGCACCCCACCTCGGGCCGCGGCGGGGGCGGGGCCACGAGGGGCGGGGCCACGAGGGGCGGAGCCCGGGGCCTCCCGCCGCTGCAGGCTGGTGGCGGCGGCGGTAGCGGCGGCGCGGGGACTGCGGGGACAGAGGCAGCAGCGACGCCTGGGGAAGCCCGCGCCCCCGCCTGCGCCTCCGAGGCGCGCCCCGAGAGCGGGAGTGGGAGCCGGAGCGGGAGCGGCCCGCAGCGCCGCCCAGGGCAGAGGCGATTGCCGGAGCCCGGAGAGCCAGCCGCGGAGAAGAGCCGGGAAGCGAGCGAGCGTGCGGGTGCGGCCGGAGGAAGACCCAGAGCGAGCCGGGGCCGGAGGAAGGAGGGCTTCGGGAGCGAGCAGCCCGCGCCGCAGCCCCAGAGGCGGCTTTGCAGGAGACAAAAGCCCTCCGGAGGGAGTGACGCGATGCTGGGCCGGCGCGGGCTGGGGGGCCGCGGCGTGTGAGCGCGCCGAGCCGTGCGCCCCGGAGGCCGGGCAGGTCGCCGCGCCGGGCGGCGGCGGGCGGAGGAGCTCAGGTGCCTCCGGCCTCGGCGGGCCCTTCACCGCTCGGGGGCGGGCGGCGCCCTCCCGCCGCCGCCGCAGCCGCAGTGGCCGGCGCCGCAGCGAGGAGCCATGGGCAACATCTCCTCCAACATCTCGGCCTTCCAGTCCCTACACATCGTCATGCTGGGCTTGGACTCGGCCGGCAAGACCACGGTGCTCTACCGGCTCAAGTTTAACGAGTTCGTGAACACGGTGCCCACCATCGGCTTCAACACGGAGAAGATCAAGCTGAGCAACGGCACCGCCAAGGGTATCAGCTGCCACTTCTGGGACGTGGGCGGCCAGGAGAAGCTGCGGCCGCTGTGGAAATCCTACAGCCGCTGCACGGACGGCATCATCTACGTGGTGGACTCGGTGGACGTGGACCGGCTGGAGGAGGCCAAGACGGAGCTGCACAAGGTGACCAAGTTCGCCGAGAACCAGGGCACCCCGCTGCTGGTCATCGCCAACAAGCAGGACCTGCCCAAGTCGCTGCCGGTGGCCGAGATCGAGAAGCAGCTGGCGCTGCACGAGCTCATCCCGGCCACCACCTACCACGTCCAGCCGGCGTGCGCCATCATCGGCGAGGGCCTCACCGAGGGCATGGACAAGCTCTATGAGATGATCCTGAAACGCAGGAAGTCCCTCAAGCAGAAGAAGAAGCGGTAATGTGCCCGGCGGCGCTCGGGAGCGAGGAGAGGGGGTGGGGGGGAGTGAGCCAGTGAGTCAGGCGGGAATGAATGGATGGATGTGCGAGAACCCGCGTCCGCGAACAAAGACAGCGAACCAAAGCGATGCTTCCAATTTTTAACATGGAATCTCTGCACCCGGATGCAGGATTACTGACTTCACCTGGGTGTGCAGGCCGACTTGCCAGCCTGCCCTCCACCTGCTCCCACCCAGCTCAGGGGACCTTTTGTCTGGATGCCAGAGCTCCCTGATGAGGTGGGTGGGAGGCTGCCCTGGGGAGTGGACGTGCCTGAGCCGCCTGCCGCCCTCCTGGCCCATGCGGAAGGCTCAAATATCAGAAACAAAAGCGATTTCTTCCTACCCCGGCAAGGCCAGAAGTTCAGGCTGCCCCGCCCTCACCTGTGAGTTACCTGAGGTTTGCAACTCCCAGAACCCTGGGTGTCCCCAGGTGGGGGGCCTGTTGGCAGTGGGAGAGGCTGAGGGAACCACCGCTCCTTGCATCCACGGGCGCGGTGAAAGCCGGATAATTTTGTGTCACAGGGCAGGACCCTGTTGAAATTTCATTTGCCCTGCTCTGGGCCCAGACGAGATGGTGGTTTGGGCTATCAGAGGACTGCCTGGAACAATACCCAGCCCCAGGGCATGGGGTGCTGCACCAACCTTGGCTGAGGGAATGGCCCCAAGATGCCCCTCTCCTGGTGATTTGTGGCTATGGAACCAGTTTTGCTGAGAACCGCTTTTCAGCCTGGAATTCAGACATCATCCAGATGGTTTGGACCTGTCCATGTGTAGGTCATTATCACACAAAGAGACCAATAAAAAATAAATAAATAAATAAATAAAAACTGTTGGAGGTGGTGGCAAATGATGCATTTACTGTTTGCAGGTTAGCGAAAGGTGTCTAAAGGCTCTGGATGTAAATGCTGGATGGATATGTGTGTGTAGACACAGGGACCTCCCTCCGTACTGTGTCGTTGACATAAATGTCTAGACTCATATGTGTGGAATCTTAAGTTCCCTTAGCCTACTGGTTGGTTTGTGTGAGCACACCAGTGCAGATGTGTGCTGAATTGCAAGATGGTTTTTTACAAGGGATGTCTCATGCTAACCACCCGATGATGGGTTTTGGTTTTCAGACATGTTAAAAACAAAAACAAAAAAACTTATACAAATGAATACTCACCTTAGAAATATTCACCGTAGGGGAAGAAAAAAAAAAGAACACTTTGCCCTTTTATATTCCTTTACCTTGCAAGTGGCGAGATGTTCAAATTTCTAATTGGGTACATTGAGGTCTACCTTGTTTGAGGTATTTTATTTAAAATGTGTCATTAGAGTATTTCATGTCATGCACCACAAAATAAAACCCCACCTTGTTGTAAAAGCTGACCTTGTTGCATGGATTTAAAAGCGAAGGCAAAGTACCAGGATGAGGCTCTTCCTAATTCATCCTTGTGGGAACTGGCCTGCATAGCAAATGCAAACCACAGTGGGTGCTTGAGATAAAAAGCAAGCGTGTGACGTTATGGTCACCTGTGCCCTGGCACTTGACAGTGTAGTTGAAAGAGGCTTTGGAAGATAAAGTAAAAGAAGAAGTATTTTTAATAATGTAATTTAAATAAATTTTTTATAATCAGGACTGAGTCTTGGTTTGCAAAAGCTGTCATTTTACCCTGAGACACAGTATCAGAAGGGAAACTTAAGCTTACTGTTGGATGTTTATTTCCTCTTTGAATCATGTTCACAGGTAGAATTTTGTGTTTTCCCCCCACCCCCTACAGTCATTAAATTAATTTACGAAGGAAGCCTACTAAAATGGGGCTTGGTCGTGCTTGAACACGTGAGTTAGTCAAATGATAAAGTCGTGCCTGTTGTCCATTGCACTCAGAAAGTTCATTTACGAACCAGAGACAGAATTCCTGGCTTCCTGTTTGAAACCCAGTTCTTAGCTGAGATATTTTGAAAGAAGGAACCTAGCAACCCGTCTTCTTTTCTCCTCTGTCAGTGTGTTTGGTACCCCTCCAATGGTGGTCTTTTGTAGAAACTCAGTAGAGAAAATATAGTTAAGCGGTGTTGAAAAGCCTGCAAGGTTTCAGTTTACATATCAACAGCATATCCACTGATTTCTAAATGGGCTGGTCCCATCATTGAAGACTCTGTATAGAATTATTTAAAAAAAAAAAAAAATCCATCTTCTTTATTTTCTTCACATGCAACTATTTCTTAAGCACTTTGACATTTTGGTAGTTCCACACTATTGAGAGAATAATATATTTATTTTGTGACATTGCAGATGCCAAATACTGTAACCTTCTTGTGCTCACCATTCTTAGACTCAAGATCACTGTTCAAATCCTGCCATGCTTTACAAATGATGCAAAATGATTTTTTTTTGCACTATCAACACTTAAAAGGGTGCAGTCAGCTGTTAGTAATTGTGTAGTAAAGTAAAACCCTGTGGTGTCTCAACTAATAGTTAAAAGAGTCTCAGTTGATTTCTATAATATTTGACCTAATAATAGCCCCTCTCATCTCCGAACAAACATGTCATCTTGGAGGCGTCCACCCAGAGGTCCCCTCCGACCTAGCGGTCAGGGATCTAGGGTGCCTCCTGCCCTGGGGAGGATGCCTGGATATCACATGGAGGAAGTGGGCCTCCCCTCAGCAACTTGTGAAGTGTTTTCTCACAGAAACAGGGAGGCCAGCTTTGTTTCAGAACAATTCTCTTCCCCCATTCTCTGTCATGGTGTTGGGACTGTGTCTCCTGGCTGTTTTCATTTCTACTGCTACAGTTCTGTCTTGATCCATCCTTCCTCTTCTGTCCCCGCTCCCTTTTATATGCCTATATGATGCTGTGAACAGAAATAAATTATTTATACAAGCAAATGTTTGGGCAAGTTGTCTGTGGATGGTTTCTGCTGTCTATTTTCTAGGCCTCCTTTGCTGATGGGAGGGACGGGTCTGAAGGTGGTTCTGGGGCTGAATCCATGGTCTCTGCTTATTTGGTATGAGTGTCTGTTCCACCCTTACAGGTGCCTGTCCGCGGTCCTCACAAATCCTTTAGGAAAATGGCCTCAATGCCTAGCCCATCCCCAGCCTCCCAGTTATTGTAAAGGTCCTGATAGTTAATTATTTCAAAAATATCTGATTATGTAAAATTGGGAATACCAATGGGTTAACAACACTGTTAGTCATTCTGATGCTGCCTCCCTGTAGATAACCGGGGTGACTTCCACTCTCGAACCCTCAGAAGGACTTGAGTCCTCTTAAATAGCAGGTGCACTAAGACCAGCATGCTCTGTCCATGCCCTTGGGAAAGGACCACTTTCTAAAGAGAGAGAGACTGGGTGAGAAGCAATAGGACCTCTGAAGGTTCAATGTGTAGCTCGTAAAGGAGGGCGTCAAGCCACAAAACTAAGTAATGGTTGTGTCTTCACTCTGAAGCCAAAAAGATCTAATCTCAACTTCTGACTCATGATTTTGCTGAAGTTTTGAGCCTCAGTTTCCCCCTCTGTAAAGTGGGATTGTGATGATTGTGGGAGGATGGGACAATAACAAATGGGATGTAATTATCAAGTACCTGGCGCAGAGCAGGTACTTGATAAGCAGTTATGGGCTGCTCTCGATATGTAGATTGTATGATGCCCGTACTACAGGCCTTTAAGTGAGGTCACTGCAGTCTTCCTTTATTCATAATTGTTTGGTGTCCTCATCCTGCTAAACCCTGAGCTGCTGACTCCAGGTCCAGGTCCAGGCCAGAGTGGAGTCAAATCAGCTGCTCTAGAATCTGATCCTCCCGGGCGAGGTCTCATCTGTAACTGTGGGCAGCCGAATTAGATATTCAACGGAAGCCTGAAGACTAGTGAATCCCTCAGTCGCCCGACAGTCCAACTCTCTAGTGCCTAGAGTTCAGACTGTGAGCCTCTTCATGGTACAGAGTAGGTCTTTAATAACTGGTGCCTTGCATAACACTGAGCATATAGCATGTGCTCAGTAAATACTTCAATGACTTAATTCATGTCAACTTGTTTGGGTTGTAAACTTGAATGGGAATGGACATTCTATAGATGATTATTTGCCATTCAATATTTTAAAAGGAAAATACAAAATCCTATTAGTTTTTTGAGATCCCTGTTGTGTGATGAGCCATTGCAGTGGCTCTGTAGGATGTGGACATGTGCACACATTAGTAAAACATTGGGGAGCTTAGTGATTTCCCTTACAATATGAACAAGGCTTGACTACATCATTCACATATATCACTCTAGAAGCAAATGCTTAAGAGCATCGAAAGGGGACAGATTTGTAAGAACTGAAACCTGAAAAATGCTTGAAAAGCCATTTATAAAAACCACCACAACTACTTAGGAGTAAAAATACTAGAACACAACAGAAGCAAAAACTGAAACCCTTGTTTTTTGGTCAATGTAACCTTGGTTTAACAAATCAGTTCTTGAGGGGCCAGGTGACACTTGGTATTAGATGATACTGTTTATTTTGTTTTCAAGGTGAATAACCCCAAATGGCCCATCACTCTGATCTCTAATAATCGAGGAGACTAACTGTAGTCGTAAGCTTTTTCAAACCCAATCTGAACTTCCTCTCTGAGCTTTTAGCTCTTCCTCATGTGTAAGGTTATGTGCGTTCACATTGTCTCCAGAGCTTGTGCTCTTGAAACAATCCTGTTACCAACATCATAGACTGTTCTGATGTCACAATCATGTGGCACCATGGAAGGACAAATGATGTGCCCAAAGCAGAAGATAACAGGCCTGGCATGATGGAGAGTGAGGAGAGAACTTGGCCCAGACCTTGACCCTCCCTGATATCATGGCTCTCGCCTGTCACTTTACCTCTCCCTTTTCTTTTCTGCATCCACATGCGTGCCTGATGCCCACAATTTGGCATTTGCCCGCCAGAAACCAAGGTCTCCATCTCAGAAGCTCTGAAGGTATCTCTGTTCTGAAATAGATGCTTCATCCATGTTCACTTAAAACAGCTTCTCCTTCTGGCACCCCCTGGCTCAGCTGACACCTGTTTCACATAGAACTGGCCCAGATGCTGGAGCACTTCACGCATGTGTTTTGCACGACCTCTGATGGGGAGCGGGCTGCTTTAGTTTCTGAGAGGAAATTGCACAGAGGGTTCTGAGAGGGTGACATCTGTGTCTCCACCCAGATGAGAAGTGAGAAAGGAAGAGCTCTGTGGTTTCACTCCTAAGTCTGCAGAGCATGAGCTGGCTTTCTTGGAAGGGAAGGACCTGAGGGGCCATTCTAGGCCTTACCTTCTGTTAATGGCTGTCATGGTGACTGTCTTCTCAGAACTTGACAGCCCTGCATGAAAGAAACAGCCAAAGCAATATCTAAAGTTAAAGCATGGGTTCAAGAGGACAAGCATCTCTTTGCATGTATTAATTAAAATTAATATAGTCACCCTGGCTGGTGTGGCTCAGTGGTTGGGCACTGTCCCATGCATCAAAAGGTTGCACTTCCATTTCCAGGCACAGCAGATGTCTGGGTTTTTGGCTTCACCCCTGGTAGGAGCATGCAGGAGGCA